CTGATAAGGCTGGATGCCCAGACCCTGGCAGCAGAGCATTAATCACCTGTGCCCACCGTCGCCAGGAGCAGGGGCTCACCAAAGCCCACGGCATGAGCAACGGGACAGGGCACGAGGCACCTCCGAGCTTTTCCCCTCACTTCCACCTGCATGGGACATGCTATGTCCTCAGACAGGGGATGCACCCCTCCAGTTGCTAGGTGTGCCTGGAAAACGTGTCAGCCCAGCAGTCACATTAGACACAGCAGCACTCCTGGTGACACCCCAGCCCAGAGTGATCTGTATGCTAGCCCCACCTCAAACCACCAGAGAGAAAATGAGATTGAGGATGTGAAGAGGCAGTCGCCAGCCCTGGGGACATGTCTGCAAGAGCCCAGGGGCACCCAGCACAGAGCAGAGAGGATGTGGGCCTGGGAGGTGGGGAGGAAGGGTGGTCACCAGGACCACTGCAGGTCATGGCTCCAGTGTGATCCCAGCAAAATAGCAGGTGCTCCTAGGCCCACCTCACAGGTGAGGAAAAGAGGCTCAGAGAGAGTGGGGCACAGGGACAGTGGCACTCAGGGAGTGTGGGTCACAGACAGCAGGACTCAGGGGCAGTGGGACTCAGGGAGAGGGGCTCAGGAAGTGTGTCGCAGTGCCCAGAACCAAAAACAAACATCCAGTGTAGGGTGGATCCAGGAGAAGTCAAGGCCAGGTTCCTCCTATAGTGACAGCCCCTAGAATCCCCAAAGGCCCCACCTGAAGTCCCCTCACCCCAACTGCCTTTCAATGTGACCATCTCTTCTGAAATACTACATGGGGGATAATGTGGTACCCCAGAACTGAGGGATGAAGCAGACAAGTTAGCCTGAATGCCTTCTGGCCAGGAAGATCTGGCCCAATGGGATTTACTTACCTGGAGGAAAAATGGGCCCAGAGAAGGGGGTGAGCAGCTTGGAGGTAGAGAAAACACTGAGCTGTGAGAAGGGGCATCTCATACCCGGGCCCTGAACAGAGGGAAATCTGAGCAACCAGGTAGAGGAGGAGACTCTTGGTGGGTGGGCTGATCCCTTCCCAGGCAGGGATGCTTGCCCACCTGCATGGGATCAGCTCCCCAAATTACTAAGTAGGGACTGGAGACATGGCTCAAGCGGTACAGCACCCGCTTTGCAAGCATGAAGCCCTGAATTCAAACCCCAGTCCTACAAAAGAATTAAAAAAAAAATCACTGAGTGGGTTCGATGGATAAGGACACACGCTGCTGGGCAGCCCTAAGACTATGATTTGCCTTCCATGTGGCTTTCACTTAGGGAGAAGAGGCCTTGCCCAAGTATTCATGACCTTTCCCATTAACTAACTGCACAGGGACCTCTGGCCTATACATCAGTCTCTCTTGAGTTTGGTCACGTGTGCCAGTCTTTGAGAAAGGATCATCCCAGACAGACAACTGTTTGGAGGCCTAGCTAGGTATGTATCACTGACAGAAATGAGAGAATATGTTTATCAAAAACAAGTATAAGAATGGCCAGAGCAGCTTGATCCACAGAAACACAAGCCTGGCACCAGTGGCTCACGCCTGTAATCCTAGCTACTCGGGAGGCAGAGATCAGGAGGATCGTGGTTCAAAGCAAGCCCGGCCAAATAGTTCATGAGACCCTATTTCAAAAAAACCCATCACAAAAAAAAGGGCTGGCAGAGTGGATCAGTGTAGACCCTGAGTTCAAACCCCAGTACCGCAAAAAGAAAAAAAAAAAAAGAAAGAAACATATATGTCCATCTACAGGAGAATGGGTACACAAAACAGTCATATGATGGAATACTACACAGTAGTTAAGGAGCACAGACTATTGTAATGTACACAAATTGCAATGCGCACAAATTGCATAGATATACAGCAAAAGGATTCGAGGCATGGCTCAAGTGGTAGAGCACCTGCCTTGCCAACTCAAAGCCCTGAGTTCAAATTCCACCATCCAAAAAAAAAAAGTAAAAGGAGTTGGACACAGTTTCTATTAAATTCAACAAGAGGCAAAACAAGCTGGGCACCAGTGGCTCATGCCTGTACTCCTAGCTACTCAGGAGGCAGAGATCAGGAGGATCAAGGTTTGAGGCCAGCCTGGGCAAACAGTTTTCAAGATACAATCTCAAAAAATACCCAACACAAAAAAGGGCTGGCAGAGTGCCTGCTTAGAAAGCATGAAGCCCTGAGTTCAAACCCTAGTACTGCCAAAAAAAAAAAAAGAAGAAGCAAGACAGACAGGAGAGTGATGGCTTCTAGGGGTGCAAATTGGAGGTGGCTTCTTCTGGATGCACAGAAAGCAATGTGCTACCTACTGGCCAGAGGACCAGGTGACAGGCAGGTATGCTGTACTCCTAAAAGCTGTACACTGTGTAATTCACCTCAGCTCAAAGCGCAACTTGAATGTAATGAAAGTGCAGAGGACATCAGGGACCATGGTTCTGAGCCAGGCAGAGACAGAGTTCACTGGGACAGCCCCCCTGACCTCCCCCAGGAGGTGCTTGGAGGTGGAGGGGCTGGAGTTCTGGTTCAGCAGGGGTCATGCAAGGACCTGGGTTCTGCATCACCCTAATTTCCCTCTCCTGGAGTGCAGCCCAGACTCCACGAATGAATTCTAAGTCCTAGAAGACAGGGGGAGAGGTGGTGTGAGACCTGAAGGCTAGGTCTCAGAAAGTCCCTGCAGCTTCCATCTTGGTCCTCTTCGTCTCTTGCCCATGGGTCCTGTGCTCTGGGGGACACCAGTGCTATGTCCTGAGGGCCCTCAAGCAGCCCTGTGGGGGTCCCCAGCTCCAGAGAGTAAGCCACCCAGGCAAGACTTCCTCCAGCCTCCAATGCACCCTGGCTGACCTCATCAGGGACCCTAGGCCAAAAGTGACAGCTCAGCTACTCCCAGACTCCTGACCCTCAGAGGCCAGAGCTAACAAGACTGCCGTCCCAAGTCACAAAGGTTTGAGAACACTTCTCATACAGTAGTAAATACCTAAAACACACAAAGGCTCCATCTTACCCCCAGGTCACTGCCCAACACCTGCTGTGGGTATTATGCTTGAGTGAGTGCTGGTGTTTCTGGGGCAAAGGGACTAGAGTGGGTGGTGGTGGGAGCCCCCCCCACCAGCTGAGCTCTGTCCCCTAAGCCTGACCAGTTGTCACTCACTAGTGGGCCAGGAATGCCCTTCCCCAGGCAGCCCCTCCTCCTCAGGCCTTAGTCATTAGTCAGGCCACCTGCCCTGGAGGCATTCTCTGATCTTCCCCACTCAGCAGGCCAACTGCCCGAACTTCTTTTTTTTTTTTTGGCAGTACTGGGGTTTGATTGAACTTAGGGCCTTGCACTTGTTAGGCAGGCGCTCTACTGTTTGTACGCCTCCAGACCTTTGTGCTCTGGTTATTTTGGACTTTTTGCCAGGTCCAGGGCTGACCTAACCTCAATCCTCCTATTTATGCTTCCCAGTGCAGCTGGGATGACACACACTGCACCCAACTATTGGTTAAGATGGAGGTCTCATGAGCTTTTCACCCAGGCTGGCCTTGAACTGCGATCCTCCCGATCTGCCTCCTGAGTAGCTAGGATCACAGGCATGAGGCCACTGTCCAGCTGCCATAGTTTCTTCACAGCCCCGAGACCCCACAGTTGTCCTCCACACGTCCCTCACTGACACTAGCTGCAAATTTAAATATGCTAAATGAGTGGTGGGAAGTTCCAGCTGTGTGGTTTCTCACTGTGGAGAGAAACCACAGTGACAGCACAGCAGCTTGGGACACTCCCTCTCCCCACCCCAATCCACTTCCTCAGGCACTGGGTAGAAGGAGGGCTGGACCCTAGAAACTGCAGCAGAGCCTACAACAGGAGCCCGGCCCCGTTTCCCTGCTTCTCCCACCATTCTGGCTTGCTGGTCTCGGATGGAGTGGGGGAAGGGGTTTCCCTGTAGGGACAGTGACTCCCGTTGTGAGGGGTCTCTGCCATCTCCCACTTCCTACCCTGAGAAGTGGTGTTAGGGGATCGGGGCTGAGGATATGACAGGTTCTGTCTGTTCTAAGAGTAACATCAGGTGTTTTGGACCCCAAAGCAGGTAATGCAGTTCAAATGTCAGAAAACACATCATTTTCATTTCTGCTACAGTCACCAGTCCCAAAATTGGCATCTTCCATTACTCCCAAGTCCCCGCCAGCCAGACGCCTGCCCAGTCCCGAAGTCCCGCCCACCAGCAGCCCAGCCAATGAGCCGCCCTCCCAGAGCTTTTGAAAGGGGATCGGGCAGAGCCAGAGCCACAGGAGCCCGCAGGCCCTGAAGGGCAGGGGCAGCTGGGCGCCACACAGGGCTATTTGGGGCTCGGCAGGTCCCCTCCTGTCCTTCCCAGTTCAGGACTAGTGACATGGCCCAGGTCTCATGCCTGTCCATGAGGGAAAATGGTCTGATTCTTGGGACAGCCGTTCTCACAGGCACAACGTCCTATCTCCACCTGCTCCCCAGTCATCTAACCTCTGTCCCCAAGAATGAGACAGAGAAGGCTGGCCCGAAACCAGCGATGAGGGCAAAAGGGCACCAGACCACGTGCCCAGGGAGGATTGGGGTGGGGACAGGGCAGGCTGCCCAGGAAAGCCACTCTGTGGAGCTAGCTGACCTATCCCGGGGTGGGCCACCCGCCCCAGAGCTGCCACTCACGCCTCAAATGCCACCACTTGAGAACCACACTAGGCCAAGTCCAGGGAGGTATGGATCCAAACTCCATCTCTGCCAAACTTGCTGAGTGACCTTGGCGAAGTGGGCCTCAGTTTCCCTTCTGCGCAATGGAATAAGGTCACAGGTAATCTCTGGGGGTGCCCTGTGACCCAAGACATGGTCTGGATGAAACCTGGGGGGAAAGCCTGGGCACAGAACGAGGGGGCGTGGCTGGGGGGTTGAGGGGTCCGTCTCAGGGTCTCAACTTCCCCAAGTCTCGAGGGGTGTTCTGTCCAGCCGGGGAGACCCACGTGGGCCGCCTGTGCCCCTCGCGCTTACACTTACATTTTGCCTCCTTCCAATCGGTGGAGGTGTTCAGGTTCACCTTCGCCGCCATGGCCAGGGGGGCCCAGGTGCGCACCCCGGCTCTTCGCCCCACCGCTGCCGTCCCCCACGCCCCAACTCCCGCTGGGGTCAACGCGCGGGGGCTGTAAGCGCTGAGGGACGCCCGGGGACCGCACGCACTGCCGCGGGTCCGAGTGGCACCCGCCGAGGGGCTGGGCCGGGGGCGCGGGGCGACCAGCAGCTGCCCCGCCGCGCGCAGCAGTGCCAGGCGGCCGGACACCCGACCCTGCAGAGGCATGGGCAGGCGGCGCAGGGCGAGTCCCGCCCACTTGGACTCCGACTAGGGTGCTCGGGAGAGGCTCTCCCTTGTTTACTCCGGGACAGAGTGGCGCGTGCCAGCCGGTGGCGACCTGCTTAGAACCGGTGGGCGGCGCAGCCAGAAAGCCCGGCCGCTGGGCACCCTGGAACTTGTAGTCCCGGCCGCCGCCTGGGCCCACGCATTTGTATGCACACGTGCGCGCCCCGCCTCCTCCAGCCCCGCCCCCTCCAGCCCCGCCCCCGCGGTGCCAGCACAGCTAACTTTTTACTGGTCCCAATGGCCTGCTGCAGCCCAGGGCTCCCGTGCCCCGTGCCCCCGGGGGCTCCCACGGTGCTGAGTGTTTTGCAACTGGAGGGACCCGGGCTTGTCTCACCACGACTGGTCCAGTGCCGCCCCCACACCCCACCCGGCTCCCCATTGGGCAACCCATCCTGTCCCCGGCCCCCAGGAGCGGCGGGTTCCAGCCATGACAGGTGCCCAGAACGGGTATGTCCGGTTCGGCGACTTCTCCCAGGTGGCGGGGGCCTCTATCCCCAAAAGCCCCAGAGGTGGGGCGCGGCTGGAACCGATTCCAAGTGGAAATGGTGGAATTTGAAGACAGAAAACTAGTTGTTCAGGGGCGTTCTCCGGTGAAAGAACTGGGGTGATTTTTTTTCTTTACATTTTCCCTGATTTTTTGCAAACTATGACTACTGATTTTTTAATAGACATTTTAATATTTTTCTGTGCTTTAAGATTTTTTTGGTTTTTTGGAGGTACTGGGGTTTGAACTCAGGGCCTCACGCTTGCTAGGCAGACGCTGTACCACTTGAGCCACTCCACCAGCCCCTTTTTTTGTGTGCTGTGTATTTTCGAGATAGGATCTCATGAACTCGTTGCCCGGGGCTGGCTTTGAGCCAAGATCCTTCTGATCTCTGCCTCCTGAGTAGCTAGGATTCCAGGCGTGAAGCCATCAGCACGACTGGGCTTTGAGGTTTTTTTGTTTGTTTTGTTTTTTTTTTTTAGTAAGTACAGTAATAGATATATTTCAGGGCTGCGGTGTGGCTCAGTGGTGGAGTGCTTACTTAGTATATGCTAGACTCAAGGTTTGATCCCAGCATGGGGAAAGGAGGGGATTCAACACCTGGCAATGAGGAGCCAGGGCTCTAGAGAAAGTTCTAGAACTAGTTTTGCCACCCTGGAGTTCACTGGACCCTGGACACTGCTGCTTCCTGTGCTGTGGAAGGACTGAGGGAGGACCTGGAGAGTGGGGGCTGGCTGGTTGCAAACCTGCCCCTGTGACAGTCAGTCTGGGTGGACATCGGCTCACCTTGCACTTCAGACAGTGAATCAGCCTGGGGGAGAGTCAGCGCAGACCCTGGCAGGGAGGTGGACAGTGAGCAGTCCTGCCAGAGAGAGGGCTGGAGTAGATCAGAAGCTAGGGGTGATGGAGGAAGGGCCAACCACACCACTACACCCCAGAACACCACCACCCCAGCAAACCTGCCCCCTGTCCCAAAAAGATCAGCAGGAAGCTGAGGACAGGGTGTCAGCCCTCAGGCCAAGCTCCACTCACAAGTGCAGCATCACCACAGCTCAGCAGTGCAAGGACAGCAGCCACCAGGTGCAAGGTGGCTGAGCTCAGCTCCCATCCTTAGCTCCCAGCAGCCTCTCAAGGAAGCACTGAACTACCCCATGGGGTGGCCCAAGGTCAAGACCACAGAGGGGCAGGGCCTCACCCCCTTGTCCAGGTCTGTTGTCCCCTTCTGTGGTCTGGTAAGGGTTTATATGTCTCCTCCAGCCATATGTCAGCTTCGTACCCTCTCTTTCTTTTTTCTGGGGCTCAACTCCTACCTCCACCTCCCAGGCAGCTGGGATTACAGGGATGATCCACCAGACCCAGCTAGGAAGCAGAGAGAATGTCTTCACAGAATTTTTAAAAAGTGACATTTTGCCAGGTGCTGAAGGTGTGTGTGTGTTGGGGCATTACAGGCATAGGGATTCTAAGAAGCAAAGACATGGAAGTTTCTGGAATACTGAGTCCTCCAGTGGGGCTGTGTCAGCTGAGGGGTTTTAATGTTGAAGAGGGGCTTTCATGCAGAGAAAAGCTACTTACTGCTGCTTGTGTTTAAATTAATACTGTATTTATTAAATGTATAAATTTTAAAAGAATTAGTTTTCTTCAACATCCAAGTGCAACTTGCAAATCTAGTTTTCTATTTATAAATCTAATTTTTTATAAAACTAAGAACAATTGCCTCACTATTCTTTGATTAATATTTAATTAACTCATAAGTTCAGCAGATTAAATTCTTCTAAGAATGAATGCCAATTATAAACTTAGGTAATTAAATTTCCTAATAGATTTTAAACTCTGCTTCACAGTGTTGAAATACAGTAGTTGGCCCTCAGACACCTCACACTGCAACAGAAGAGACACGCACAGAACGAGCACATTGTTTTTCCTGATCATTTGAGCCACTCTTGTACACTAGTAAGACTGAACTTAAAAATGTGGCAGTAGCCAGGTGCCTGTGGCTCACAGCTGTAATCCCAGCTACTGCGGAGACAGAGATCAGGAGGATCATGGTTCAAAGTCAGCCCAGGCAAATAGTTCTCAAGACCCAATCCCAAAAATACCCAACACACACACACACACACACACACACACACACACACACACACACACACACACACACAGGGCTGGCAGAGTGGCTCAAGTGGTAAAATGCCTGCCTAGCAAGTGTGAGGCCCTGAGTTCAAACCCCGGTACTGCCAAAAAAAAGAAAAAACTGGCAATGGAGCTGGAGGCATGACTCAAGCAGTAGAGTACATGCCACAAGCTTGAAACCCTGAGTTCAAATCCCAGTACTGCCTATTTTTGTGGTACTGGAGCTTGAATCAGGGCCTTCACCTTGAGCCACTCCACCAGCCCTATTTTTGTGATGGGTTTTTTCGAGATAGGGTCTCATGAACTATTTGTCCAGACTGGCTTCGAATTGTGATCCTCCTGATCTCTGCCTCCTGAGTAACTAGGATTATAGGCGTGAGCCACAAGCACCTGACTTGCCGAAAATTTTCTTTAAATGTGACAGTGGAGCACGTGCAGGAGGCCTTGGGTTTGATCCTCAGCACTGCAGAAACAAAAATTTGTAAATGTGGCAAATGAGTTCTCTGAATTTAGGTTCTCTTATACTGCCATAGTTCTCTATCACTATGTAAGAAACCACTGAAAATTTACTGATTAAAATTGTCCCAGCAACTTAGGCTGGGACAAGCTGAATTGTTCATCAGCTGGGGTCTCCTGGGTCACCCCTGCACTGTGGCCTATGGTCATCTCCCAGCCCCACAGAGGTCCAACCTGGCTTCTCTCCTGTGGCTGGCGGCTGGCTGGCAGCAGAGACCCTTGTTCATCTCCACCTGGCCTCTCTGTCTTCCAGGTCATGAAGCCACCAGGGAGCCAGTCCACCTTCTCTGCAGGGCTGAAGTTGCAGTGAGAAGCAGGACCACTGTACAACGTGGTTTTCCTGCTGCTGGTGTGCAATTTAAGACCAGAACTTGGACTGAAGGCATGGCTTATGTACTACCACACCCACCTTGCAAGCACAAGGGCCTGAGTTCAAACCCCAGTACCAGCAGTCCAGCACAGGACCCAGGAGAATTCTACCCCTGGAAGGGACCACAAACTCACTTCTCTCTCAAGGACCTTACGTTAAAGCCCAATGTAGCCTGGCATGGTGAAGCACGTCTATAATCTCAGCTCTTGGGAGACTAAGGCAGGAGGATCACAAGTTCAAGACCAGCCTGGACTGCATAACAAGACCCTGTGTTTTTTTGGGGGGAAGGGGAAAAACCGGGGCTTGAACTCAGGGCCTACCCCTTAAGCCTGGGGCTGGCTTTGAACTGTGATCCTCCTGACCTCTGCCTCCTCATTAGCTAGGATTACAGGCGTGAGCCATTGGCACCTGGCAAGACCCTGCTTTTTTGTTTTTGTTTTTTTTAAATGCCCAATACATCACTATCTCCTGAGTCTTTCACGTGTCAGCCCCACTCCCCTTTTGCCATCGTTCTACTTCTCGTTACCTCATCAAGAAGAGTAGCTTACATCCCTCCGCCTGCCCCCCTCCCTCCCCATCCCATCCCTCCCGGGTCCTCAGAATGTCTGCTGTGGCTGCTGACAGCTTTGCATCCCACCCCCTTCCCAGTGGTGATAACCTGTGTTACTTTATCACCTGCCTACAGTTCATTTTACTGTCTGTTCCAGTGGCCATATTGTATAGTCATTATGTTGAGAGGTGTGTAAGGGCAGGTGGATGATGAGGTATTAAATGTCCAGAGCTTGTAGCTATAAACCATGAGCCTGGGTGGCACAAGATGCCCCTCCTCTCTCAGGTTCCCCATGGTAGGGAAGAAGGGGTATGGGGACCCGTCGGCACCTGGGAATGGCTGGTATGTCATATAGTGGGACAGCCAGGTCCAAAATGTTCTTATCCCACACTGCCTCCCCAGAAGGGTTTCAGGGAGCCTCAGTGGACCAGGAATGAGCTAGCAGAGGAGGTGTCACTGCCCAGCTCTGACTTCAGAGAAGGCCTGAGAAGAAGGTGGTTACTCAGGGGACACCTGAATTATGTACTCCTTTAAAAGGAATATTTATTGCCACCACACTCAAAAGCATAGATATAAAGTAAAAATGAGGCCAGGGACATAGTCCAGTGGTAGAGCGCTCGCCTGGCATTCTCAAGGCCCTGGGTTTGATCCTCAGCACTGAGAATAAAGAAGAATGAGAGGTGGTGAAGTTACAATGAGGCCAGTATTAAGTAAAAAGCCTTCCTGTTCCGTAAGCGCCTCTAGCAAATTGAACCTAAAGAGGGGGGTAAAGGGAGCCCCCCAATTCTAGCCAGTTGGTCAGAAGTATGAGAGACCCTGGATGTGTTACTGATTAGGAGTGGGCTGTAACCCAGTGTTCCTGATCTCCTTATGAGAAGAAATACGGACACACAGACACAGAGATGCACGGACAGAGGAACCACCAAGCGAACCGCCAAGTGAAAACACAGCCAGAGGTGCCACCTAGGAGCCCAGGAGAGAGGCTTCAGAAGAAACCAGTC